CTCAGCCTGGAACTAAAAATATGGGTGGAGGACAACAGAGCTGCTTCATGGAAGAAGAACCTCAGCTTAGCCTGTTAGCTTTAGCGTCAACGCTATGTTGCTTTATATGTTTATCTCGGCACGAAAAACTAACAAGCTAAACTGAGGTCCTCCATCTATATTTTCAGATACAGGCGGAGTCATTTCTACCTTCTCCTCTCTGTCAACGCTCTCTGGTTTCATTTAAAAGAGTCGATCATCAGATATTGTCCAAGATTAACCTTCAGGGTGGATACAGCTCACACACACGATGACCTATCATTTACCCATGTCTTGCATGTAAATAAAATGGCTTCATACATAGCTTTAAAATTTTAGTTTAAAAATTATAAAAACTAAACAGTATTTTTACAGTCTTTATTTTACAGTTGAAATAAATGTTTGTCAAATAAAGTCTAATGTTACAACTAATCAGGGATCCCTTTATGGGTTTTCTCGATCTGTGTCTCTTCATTCTGATTTTCAGCTCTTTAATTGTGTACTGAAATGATTAATAGCTGAATAAAAATTGTAAACAATGTCCAAAAAAAGAACAAATTAAAAGGAAAAATKARCTGCAATTGCTGTGAGAACATATTCAGCTAATGTTCTGTGTTTTTTCTATGTAGTGGTGTGTCATTGTATGTCATTGTTTATGTTGACAGAGAGCATGACAAAATAACATAAAAAGTTTGACCTTGATTTTCCCTAGAGGCTCAAAAGCCTGAAAACTTGTATTTTGTGTCATCTTTGCCCACAGCTGGGAGCCATTTATTTTCCTGCAGGTTCAACAATTTATTGCAGCTTTCTTCCTTTGCACTCTCCTGTGAGACTCTCTCTCTTTGAAGCAGATTTTTGGGTCTTTAGTCATTCGGTTTAATAGAGCACGAGACGAATCTCGGACCAGGATGGCTTTTTGTCCCGTGTGTCATGCAGAGAATCAAAACAACTAAAATCACAGCACTATTGTGAAAACTTGTTTTGTGCCTCAGAATTAAAACCACACAAAGGAACACCGTAGCAAGCTTATAGGATGACTTCTCCGAATAATGTTTTTAATAGTAGGGGTTCAAATATTCCACTATACAAGCCACAAGTAACTGATAGCATCAGTTATATCTGCTGCTTTTTTTAAATCACTTCAGTAGAAAAAAGAACTTAATATTAGTTTCTTAATTTCTTCATCATCAGTGACTTTTTTAAGTAAAGAGAAAATAGAAAAAGAGAAAAAACAAAGAGAAAAGTAATTAGAAAGATTGTAATAGAGATTAGAAATACAGTATATTAAATATACTATATAATTATATCTGCTGTTATAACACGTAGAAGCCATTTATCAAGCCCATAAAACTTTTTTATATTAGTAGCAAAGAGCCACTTTACTCAAACTTCAAAAATGTGCCTTGTGCACTCTAATACATTATTCTGAGCTCTGCAGTACATTAACACTCATGTTGGTGATGACTCTCAGTTACTAGTTAAAAATTTTAGCTCAGTATCTGTAAATAAGACTTCATTGTAGCCATTTTTGTGTTTCTCAGGTCAAATCACCTTGAATTGTAACAACTCCTAAATACAATAGTTTGTAAACGCACATACAAGGATTACTTTCTGGGAGTTTGAATAAAACTAGTTAAGGGATTTACGACAGGGTTGRCACAAATGGTTAATGCCAAAACTTGGAGACGATGCACAACTACAACCGCACCATCTTGAACTGAACTGACCCCACAAATTAATCAGTCGACGTAGATCCAAACAATAACTTTGAGTTTCATTAAAAACTGCGTAGTAGTTTCTGAAATATTTTGCTAACAAGTTCACTGACGACACAGTTAAAAACAAGTCCTTTTTAAAAGCGGCTTGAAAGTCTTCTGCGTAAACGAACACAAGCATGAACTCATTCAGTTGGTTAACCGTTTTTTTTCTTCTTTTCTCCGAAGGACATCGAAGGGCAGCCATCATGCTTTCACTGGACGAGCCGCTGGACTTGAAGCTACCCTCTGGAAGAACTCGAGGTTCTGTGATACTGGGAAAGAGGACGTTTCCTTCCTCCGCCTGCGGCCCTCTCAGCGCCTCGCGGCCTCGGCTGCAGTGCACACCGTTTCCCTCCCCTCCCTCCTCACCAGGTAACCGTCAACAAGGCACACTGACGCACGACGTGCAGCGTTTTGGAGACTGGCTTGTTGCAAATGAACACATGACAGTAATGATGATGATGATGATGATGCCACGCAGCAGCAAGTTAATTTAACGGTGCGACGAGGAGATTCTCTGCACTTTCCCAGTAATCTAATACTGACAATCCAATAATCGGCAGATCTGTTCTGCTCCCAGACAGTCACAGGTTGCCTGATTTGAGGGTGTTGCCTGTAACAAAAGAAGCATGACAGCAACATGAAATGACCTCAAATAAAATTCCTCAAACTCATAAAATTGAGATGATTGTTTGAGAAATGACAGCATTTTCTTGGCCAAACCTTATAAATAATGCATCATCTCACTAACCGTGGTGAGGCATCTTTGTTAAAGTGTTGTAGATGACTCTCAGCTACTACCACACCAACATTTAGCTCTCTGTCTGTCAAATGGACTCAGTTAGATCCCCTTCTGTGTTAGCTAATATGTTGATTAGCTGTGATGGCCTTCTTAAATTAGATTGACACGGAAAGTTAATCAGTTGTAGATGAACCAAGAATGATTGCTCTCTGAAAGACTCATTGATCGTTCTCCAGTGGTTTATGAGTTATTTTGCTAACAGACAGACAGAGCTGCCTTTAAATAGTTAATTGCTAAATTTGAAACAAACAGTTTGATCAATCTGTTAATGCATAGATTAACTGTTGGGGGCGAGTCCCACCTGCTACCCCACCAAATCTTAGATTAATATCTGAAAAATAGACTGAGTTAGAGGCATTTTCGTGTTTCCAAAGCTGATCATCTGTGGCGGCCATCTTGAATGGCATTAAGTCCAAAAGTTAATCAGTTGTAGATTTACAACCAGTGATTACTTTCTGAG